CTACTTACCTTCACGGATCATCTAGAGCCCAAAGAGCCAATCTGTTCCTCACAATATTTAAAAATTACTCAAAAGCCATACACACATTTTTTTACAAACAAATGAAAATACCATTACCTGAATAATACCCTTTAAAATTTTTCAATGGTACTTCAGAATCATGTGTACGTACCGAAAGAGCCACCGTGTGCCACCAACCCGTGTCCTCAGCCATCAGTATTACTGATGGAAAAGATCTGTTTATTCATTGAGAAAAACTTGATCCACATCCACTTACACTCTGCTGGGGGTAGGGGGCGAGTTCAAAATTGATGTGTACAAAATAATACAAACAAGAGAATTTGTATTATTTTAGCACAGAGATTAGAATTGAACTGTGGCTCCCAGGAGCAGGAGGAAAGGGGCGAGGGGGAGAGTCTGTGTTTAGCTGGCAGCGAGTTTCTGTTCCTGGGACTGGGTATCATGACAATGGGAATCGTAATGGCTGCACAAGCTGATCTGTGTCCCTGGGCTCATTGTATTGGACAGTAACAAAGGAAGTGGCAGATACTGTGTTACCTATAGTCTACAGTAAAAAAATGCATTAAATATTTTATTTACAGCTTAACTATCTTATTTAGAACTAAGGCAGGCTTACGTCTTGCTTTGATTGACTTTATTATTTCTAACTCTACAAAAGTATTTTTACATTGAAGCTACTATTCAAAGTCCCCTTATTCTGGGACATCTGGCCAAACCTTCCCTCGCAAGTAGAACTAGTGCTACGCTCTGTGCCTTCAGGGCGTTTTCTCCATGCTTTCCATGGGGCCTCGTTATTGATCCACGGTATTTATTGAGAGCTACCATGAGCCGCGTACTATTCTAGGCGCCGAGAAGACAACATTGAACTGTTCCTGTCCTCGTGGCTCAGGGAGGATAGAAACCACACAGGCAAACCCAAAGACCGGGAAGCAGTAAGGAATGACAGACAAAGAGAACGCAGGTTAGTGAAACTTCGAGCGACTTAGAAGACAGGCTGTGGCAGTCACCTCATCTGGTGTCAGTTTAAGGAGGAAGAGTGTAGGGGTGGCGTCTAGGCTGTCAATCTGGAGATAGCCA